TTCTCTTTCATCGATGTTTATAAACTTTCTATCTCTTTCCTTTCCTCTCTGTAAAAAATCAATAAAATATATTTAAAAAAAAAAAAAAAAGAAAAAAAGAAAAACAACACCTAAAGTGCATTATGATGATTTAAATATCGTGCAGTTTGCCCAAAAACGCGCGGTCCCTGGCGTATGTCTTAGAGATTTCTATGCGGTACGCAATGTGTTAAGATATATATATTTAAAAAAAGAAGAAGAGTATTGTGCCACCCGGGCCTCCAGACCACAGCCTGTCCCAAAGCCTCGCCTCTAGACCCCAATACAAGCTGGTCTCTGGTTACCCTCACGTGCTGGTAATGGTCCTAGAGACAGGGCAGCAACACAGGCTTTGTCCATCCCTGCCTATCAGGGCTCTCCACGTCCAGAGGCCATAGGTGAAGGGGCCGGACACAGAAACAGGTCAACACGGAGAAAAGGGACATTGACCACAATGTCCATCCCTCGGGCTTTTTGTCTCAAGGAATGTGAGGGGTGGTTTTTTTTGAGGTTCTATGACAATCATCCTTGGCCCATTTCAGTTAAAACGGGATCCGTCTTGACAAATGTTAGGACACAGCCCTGAGCAGCGAGGGCCGTTTCGAGCCGTTTCTAGGAACCAGGGCACGGGAAGGCATGCGGGCTCTTGGTTGTGTGTCCTGTTCACAGCTCAGTGTCCGTGGCGCCTGCTTTTTCTAAAGCACAAACGTTTCCCACAATTTAGTAAGGACATCAAAGTGGTGTCTTAGAAGGAAAGAGAGACAAAACACTTCAGGAATGGCCTAAAGTTAAAGCTGTTAAAAAAAAAAAAAAGGCATTCACAGTTTGGAATTAGGGCATCACAAGCACTTGGAAAGAGGCCCTGGTAGATGTGAAGTGTGCGCACACGCACAGGCACACACACACACACACGGACACGCATGCGGAGGGCAGCGCGGCCCCGTGGACGCGTGCTGGTACCTGCTCCGCGCCCGCGAAAGCATGGTAGAAACAGGACACGTACGTCATGATGGCCCTTTCGTCCGGTTTGGGGGTGTTGACAAATGTCTGAGGGAGGGAAAAACAGCACAGAAAACACACACACACACACACACACACACACGCACACACACGCACACAAAGAGCAGAAGCCAGGGTGAACGAGAGAAGGACGAGTGGGTTCACACCCACAGGTTCCCTTGGCTCTGGGCCCGCACCCCGAGCCTCCGACGGCACCGAGATGGTGCAGGAGTGCGATGATTTGAACCTTCGTTTCCTAAATGACAAACTGGAGGCTTTTCCCTCCCTCACCTTCTATGAGCTTTTAAAAGTGCAGA